CCCCCCATAATCTGCAGAAATAAGCGGAAACATGCCAACCATGATGAATCTACTGCTTTTTGTATGGCAATGGAACATGTTATTCTTGTAAATGGTCTGGAATGCAAGATGGCTTCAAACTCATCGAAGGTAAATGTTCTTCTTTGACCAACTGCTATAATTGTGACATCCAATAATCCTCCTGAAGTTATGAAGTGGGTTGGGTTTGTCCTGGGTGATTTAAATGAAAAAATTACTTGATGTGTTTTTACTTTTTATCTACTAAAGCTTATGAATAGTTGAAAGTTACTCTAATTATCATATGCACTTCTTCACGAGTTTTCTGTGCTATATTATATACTTACCGTCCTAAAAAGGATGTAAGAATACTTGAGAATATATAAAGAAACAATTTAAACGACACACTTGAATATATACTAGAAATAGAGCTGAGACAAGAAAAGGAAAGGATTTGTGAACTTGACGAGGTGATTGGGTGTGTTTAACTTCAATTTCTTGTCCACATCATTATTTCTTCCTGACTCTCTTGTACTTGTCAAATACTTAATAGGAGTAGTTCATCATGATCATCATTCCTCTAATATGATAAATCCTTGCAGATCTCTTATGTGCTTGATACTGAGGACTTCTTTTTCCGTCGGGGAAGGAAACTAAAAAAAGTTTCAGCTGGCAGATTGTCATGTCATTACCAGGCTAGAGTAGAACGGTTCCATCGTGTTCTGTTGTCCTCTTCATGATGATACATGGCCTCTCTCTCTGAAACTGTCAATGCATTACCTTTCTTGGCAAACCAGAACGTTGAACAAGTTCTAGACGGTCTATTTATAGAAATTCACATTACAGGATTTAATCACTTCAACGGACTCCTCTCTTGCTGACTCCAACAGGGTTTTACACTCAAGTATTTCATTGGATTGTCGGACCAACTATTTACTTGGTCAATTGGTTCAATGCTTTGATGGTGGTATTCTCTTGAACCTTCACTCTTGAGGAACAAGGATTCGCGGGTGTGGTTTCTCGTTAGTGTATTATCTTGTGGCACATGTAAATGGCATTTCAGTCATTTTCTTGTACATATGGTTTTCCGCCATAAGTTGTTTCTTGTAAGCTGTGTTTATTTAATCTGGTTGCGTGGGATCGCAAAGGAGCCATATTGCATTTCCTCCTCTGCAGTAGTCTCCGTGTCCCCGTGAGCTGATCAAGCTTTCCAGCAGCTACAGCTTCCTGGATTATGTAAGAGATAGTGATAACTTAGTTGAATTTAGTATAGTGAAAAGCTTTATACAGTGGTTTTCTTGGCCCTTGTTTTGTACAGAGCATACATTTGGATTCTACTTTTTGCTTAAACAAGAGGTTTATTGCCTTATTGACAAGGCTTTTTTCATTCAAAATATTATTGGTTCTTTACTTTTTTTCCTTAGTGACGTAGCATCCCCAACATGTGTTTATATTTGTTTGACTTTTGAGATGAGTTTAAATGGAATCACATGGTCAGTCAAGATTCGTATAGCCGAGTTGGACTTATTTGGTATCGAGGCTTTATAATTGTTGACCGAATATATTGGAAAAATGATATTGTATAACCATTGTAAAAATAATAGCAAAAAAGTATATAAAATATGTATACTTTTTGTATATATATACATTTTGTATGTTATATACGAAAATTATACAAGTTTTATACACTTTTTTGACTACTTGGTGCGGGCTAAAAGTGATAATAACCCATATATATTTAACCAAATAATTGAAGGTCCACTAACACTAGGGCAATAGTTTCTCATCGAGGTATCAATCTTAGGTGGTAACGATTTATATTTGTTTGTTTGATGTTTTTTAGTTCACTCGATTGTCACAAGAAAAATCCAATAATATGAACTTTTGCCACCACAATTTTTTGATAAGAAAATCATACAAAGTGTGAAGACGAAACAAAAGCGAGTTATATTCTTAAGGAGTACTATTTTTGAAAGATTAAGATTTATTTTAAGATATAATGTTATAGGAACTAATATCTGAAAATTAACTTACCCTATTTGGGAGAATCATTAGATTTTTTAATCTTTTACATTGACCTTTCTTAGTCCTATACAAATTTGTTACCTATAAATTAAATGATAAATGTTAAATCTTATTGTAGTTTTACAATGTAAGGATTGGGCACTCACAAAGCTAATTAGATAGATAACATAGGACCAATTTTGTTCCTAACAAATTAAATGATATCTGTATGTTAAGCTTATTTTAGTAGGGGAGCTCGTCAGACATAACTTAGAAACACCCACATATTTTGAGTTACCCGCATGGAGTAACGCTCCTTCAAATCCCACATAAACAATGGAAATTTCTTGTTAGGCAAAATACATAGTTTGCCCCCGGAACTTAGGATCAAATCCCTGTGACACACCTTCTGAGCACGGACAACTTTTTACGCACCCAACCTTTTCAAAGTGTGTCTAATACACACCTTTTTTGTCGACATGGTTAGTGCGTGTTTTACCAATAAAATAAGGCGCGTGAACAGTAAAAAAATTATTTTCTTTCTTTATTTTATTTTTTTCCATTTTCCTAAACTAATTCACTGGCTATCCTCCGCCAAATCCAACACCCACCTTCCACCATCGTTTCTCCACAATTTCTCCACCATCCTAACCAACACCCACCTGCCAAGAACCACCATACCTTCACCATTGAAGCCCGTCTCTTTTCTCTCTTTTTTTTCTTCTCAAAACCCAGTTGTTGGTAGCAGCCATGGAAGCCCTTACCTTCTGCATACTAAATAGAGCAGTTTGAGTTAAACCCAGAAGCTAAGATCTTCAAGCCACGCCATTTCTGGATTTCATCTTTGAGTTTAAACAAATATTATGCAGTTTGATGTTCTTGAGTTATAATAAAGACTTGTAATTTCTTCATTTAAAAGTGTTTTGATGGATCTAATTATGTCAGGTTTTATGTTATGTGGGTTTTTTCTTTTATTTTGTGAGTTTGAGTTGAATTCTCATTCTATGTAAAAAAAAATATTACTCCTAATTAAAGTTTTTAGAAGTGCAGAGACATACTTCAATGGTGTGATTTTTTTTTATTTCTAAGTGTTTTCTCTTTAAAATAGATTGTATTTGTTGAATTCTTGTTATTAGCTATTGCTCATGTTTTTAAAGTAAACAAGGAGGAGGGATTGGAGCTTTACAGGAGTAAGCCGATGGGAAGGGGGCTCGAAGAAGAGGTAGA